TTGTACTTGCTGTAGGGTAAGCATGTGAATGCAAGTAGCTATGACCACATAATACCATAATGCTATAGTTTCCTCATAGTACTTGTTTGTTTAGCAATACCTAAAGGTTCCCATGCCAGTTACTGCTGTTTTAAGGTGCAGAAAGACCACATCAAAACTTTTTTCATATTTTTCTTGAATCATGACATCTTTCTAGTGGATTTTGGTTGTTGAGGCCTGCCAGGCAATAGTGTAACTACTCCAGGGTTGGCAATCAGAACACAACTCCCATATGTGAACTAGGGGGGTTACCAGAGTACTGCTAGGCCTGAGGTGTTGATGCAGGCAGCAACCAGGGGTTTAACAGAACAGTGACTGAATGTTGCTCCCTCCTTACTGCAGCTCCCATATTTTTCCGCTGCAAAATTTACCTTTACTAATTTGCCACTGCAACAAAATTTGGCAGCAGTTGCAGTGCGGGCAATGCTAGGGTCTTGTTTGGCATCTGCTCTTTTAACTCCCCAGCTGCTGGCTATGTCACCGCCACCTCCTGACAGCAGCGTGAGACTGCCAGAGACCTGTCTCCAGCCACAATATCCACAGTGACTCTTGAAGTCCCATCACAGCAGATGTTGCCCAAGGCATGAACCTTACCAGTTACACCTCTGCTACCACATGTAAAATGGTCAGCATTTGGGTTTTGTGGCCAATACTTGTCCAAGTTTCCCCTGCAACAGTCATTTTAGCTTCTGTCAGCCTGAAGCAGGTGTTTAAATATTCTTGTGACTTGTGCCCTGTTCTTGAATTAAGTTTCCACTGTAGCACCAAGAAACCTCTCATTCTTGAATGTGTTTCTTCCATCTTCTAGGTATATAGTTATTGTGGTTTGGATGCCTGTAGTCCTGTATGTCAGCTGGCTCTGCTACACTTCTCTTGGTCAGGGAAACACCAGGCTCTTCTCTTCTTTGACAACAGGTATTTAATCCCACTGCTGTATCTTTAAGAAATCAATGGAAGGGAACCATGCTTGGTCCTTTAAATGCAGGTTTTCCCCATGAGTTGCTACCAGGCTTCATTGACCTGTGCTGTCCTGTAATGTGAAGGTGACACTAAATCAGTGCATGGGAGGAGAGAGGGAACAACAGGAGGCATGACTAGCTTGCTTTTCTTTTTCTTTCCCCAGTACATTTTTCAAAATAAAATGCAGTTTGTTGCTTGGAATAGCAGTGAACTAACTCTGCATTCATATCCAGCTATTGAAATAACATTTGGCCTCTTTCTCATTGTTGACTGTGCTTCATTTAAAGGCTGACCTTGTTTATAATCTCGTCCTATGCTTTCCCTTTAATTGTACATGCAACAGGGGGCCTATCTCCATGGCCCGCCCACCTGTTCTTGGGCCAACCACCCACCTTCTCGCCCTCCAAGCCTTGATGTTAATTGATTAATTAATAGATGTCAATTAAGTGGGAGGCCACCCATTTTGCTGCCCCGATGCCAGGGGGCACTCTCCCCCACCTTCATTCAGGCTCCCTGAAACTATTTTCCCCTCTCAGGTGTGGTCCCCCTGGGACCTTTGGCTACCAGCCCTGGCCCACCTCCAGGCCAGTCAGGCCCCCAGCTCTTGGGCATCCCTCATGGTGGGCCTCTGGCCCTTTTGACCATCCTGGTCCTGGCCCCAGCATGCAACAGTCAAGGGTACTCTATCACTCAGGTTGAGTCTCTAGCCCTTTTCTGTCCCCTGGGGTCTGCCCTCTGGGCCCTACAAACACAGGGGTTACCCACCCAGTGGTGGGGGCTAGGGGTTAAGGCACCCCAACCCAACTTTCACCAGGGTGGTAACTGGCCTGGCATTTCCTGGGGGCTCCCACACCACTGAGAGCCCCACCAGGCCACCCACTCCTGGCAGGGTGCAGTTTTAGGTCATGCCCAGGACCAGGAGCCTCCTAACCATCCCCTACAGCTCCTCCCTTACCTCCAGATATAGATCTCAGCAGACCTCTGGCTAGGCAATGTTGTTGCCTAGCCTCTAGTAGCTGAGCTTCCCTGTTTATATAGACAGCCCCTGACTCAAAATGGCTGCCCTCATCAGGCACCTGGTGGCTGCCAGCTCCAGGCCCTTAAAGTGGCAGGCACACACAGTGCCCTGACACAGTACAGTTCGTGACCTGGACCCACATTCACTTGGCTACTGAGGTCTTACTGTGGGGGCTGCTGTTGGGAGTGTAGGCTGCATAGTCTGTTGTCATCTTCTTATGTGAATTTGCTTTTTAGGTGAGACATTTATCAAAATATTGACAAGGAATTACTGTCCTACACTGGTACCTTATGCTGAATTTCAGCAACACTTCTTTGCTGTAAATCCAGCTCCAAATGGCCTCATTCCCTAAGTACATAAAATGGTCTCAGTAGTCTGGAATGGTTTTAAAAACAAATGGAGCAAGATTCTCCACAATTGACTTTGGCATTCTTTGACACAGCTGCAAATCATTGTACTCTGAATACATAACTAGCCAAACCAAACTAAGGAACCCACAGGCTCTGGAGATGACAGAGCCCAGCTCTGGTGGCCTCCAGCTTGCTGTACTAAAATGTACCCAGTTTTGCCACTGAAAGTAAGAGATAGAAACAGCAATGTCATTCTGCAGCCCACCAGAATTGTTAATCTCATTGTTTAGTGCTGCTGGTACTGAACAGGCCTTTCACAACGTGGTGTTTGTTCATACGCAGTTCTTGCAATTGGATCTCCCACTGTCTGCCTTCCAGGCAACAATTGTAGTTAGTTGCATGGCATCTCAGAGCTGTTTGTGTTGTTTGTTTTTAGCATGCTGTTTTCCTCCCCTTTTAATTGAATTACTTTTGAAATGCCATTTAGTACCAGCATCAGTTGTATCAAGGGTAGAGGGGAATCTCCTCCTCTTGGCAGGCTGACTCAATGTGAAGTGGCATTGGCCCAGCAGCATGCACTTGAGCTGGTGGTTTCACGGGGCAGAGAGTGGGTGCATTGAGGGTGTGAATTACAAGGGAGCTTGGGGAGCTGAGCCCCACCCCATAAGAGACGAGAGCCCTCCTGTAAGATTTGAACATCATAACTGGGAGCGGGGGGTCGGTCTCTGGTCAGATTGCTCCTTCCAATGAACCGGTTTAATTTTTTTTGCAGACCCCCCCCATCAAAGTATAATTTGAACTCTGGGTGCATTTGGAAATAGCTGATAGCTGATGGAAGAATGACAGTTCCCTTTCACAGTAATGTTTGTTCCCCCCGCCCCCCCAGGCAGAATGAACATGAAACCTTTTTTGGG